GAGAGAGAGAGAGAGAGAGAGAGAGAGAGAGAGATGGAGAGAGAGAGAGAGAGAGAGAGAGAGGGAGAGGGAGAGGGAGAGGGAGAAAAGGAACTGTAGCACACCGGATATGAGTTGGTATTTAAAGGATTGCAGGCTGAAGAGCACTGAAGCCGAGGAATGAGACCATTAGAGGACGTGACTGGTGCGTTTAATGAAAAGGTCGTTTGCTCGCTAGGTGTCGGCTGTGACATGTAGTGGGTGGGATCACGGGCAATAGGGGCTGGTAATTAAGCCAGGCTTGTGTGCTGGGAGTGGATGCGTTGCACACTATTTATTCAGTCGATGAGGTCTTGCAAGCAATTCTATGACTTCTGACTTACGATGCAAATCATTTCTTTTTTAATTCTTTCCTTGTTATTGTATTTTCATCACACTTATTAAGCGCACCATGCAAGTTAAGGGATGGTTTAGCGAATAAACACTTGGTATTCCTGGTCATGAGTGCATATTTTTTACGTTATCATCTGAACTCTGCCTGAATTTCAGGTAATTACGGCGCTGGGCAAAACGTGGCATCCTGAACACTTTACCTGTAGCCACTGCAACATGGAGCTGGGCAACAAGAATTTCTTCGAGCGGGACGGCCAGCCGTTCTGCGAGCACGACTACCACCAGCTGTTCTCGCCGCGCTGCAGCTACTGCCGCGGACCCATACTGGACGTGAGTGTTACAGAGACCCTGGACGTCAGCCAGTGTCGCACAGGCCGCCCTGGACGTGAATGTTGCTTTTAGGGTCCGTATTGGACCTATTGAACCCTAAAAGCAACTACTCTAATCCAAGCTGTCAGTAATCCACGGTTAACTTGAACATAGGTCATTTAGATTCGAAGGATAAAAATGTCTCCGAAAATCACCTCACTCCGACCGATTGTCCAACGCTGCCCGCCACGTAAAGTTTTGTGCGATGCGGTACAGTATCCTACAGGCGTTGAGCGCAACGCCATCTAGTGAATGAAATGAGAAACACGTCGGACGTTCGCCTGTTAGCGGGCGGTGCGGTTCCACTCAAACAAAAAGTGAACTGTCGTCTTTGCATCGATCATAATTATTTAGTCTTTTATCGACCTGGTACTGACATAGCCAACAGCCATGCTGCTGAGCAGAAAAAAAACTTGTGTACATTTGGAGCATTGTCTTACACTGGCACTCAGCATTTTTAAAAACAATTTAGAGCGTTTGCACTAACGCATCTCCTCTGTCCTCACAGAAATGCGTCACGGCCCTGGGCCAAACCTGGCACCCGGAGCACTTCTTCTGCGCCCAGTGCGGCCAGCCGTTCGGCGACGCCGGCTTCCACGAGCGCGACGGCAAGGCCTACTGCAGGCAGGACTACTTTGATATGTTCGCGCCGCGCTGCGCCGGCTGCGGCCAGCCCGTCATGGAGAACTACATCTCGGCACTCAACGCCCAGTGGCACTCGGAGTGCTTCGTCTGCACGGTGAGAGGCATGGGGTCTAGCTGAGGGGCGGGTTTGATGTAACGTGTTGGTGAGCCGACACTGACAGGTCGTCACAACTTATTGGCTAAATAATTTTGTATGAAAAGGACGCTATATGGCACTACGAACGCGTACTTTTTTACTTGTTTACATGAAGAGAAAGATTATTAAACCTCGCCAAGTGTGACTACGATGCCTGGTGGCCTGGTTTCAAGTTCCCTGTTTATTTCCAACATTCTTCGTTGTTAAATATCCTAACACCAGCGCAGTGGTGGTAATATGATCCCCGGGCCAGCTGGTGCCAATGATGCCGGAACGTCCCTTTGATGTTTGACCTTTGCGCTCGAATTTGTACAAAGCAAAGAGACCAGCGCGTCAAAGCCGTTTGATCTTTTATCTGTTGGTTTGTCAATCGGCAGTTATGACGCAATATTGGCACGGCTCGATGGCAGTTCATAGTTCATACGGTTGAATTACTCTAGCTGAAGCGACCGTTGCTGCTCGATATGTTCCCATACAAACGGCACGGTGAAAATCTTAGCGAGTTTTCACACCTTTGTCTTTCCAGGATTCGTACTGCACTGCTTCCTGTCACTGACCCTGCACAGATGAAATGTTAGCACCAATCGCTGACCAGTCGCTGTTCTCCGGTTTCAGGACTGTAAGCAGACGTTTGCGAACGGCTCGTTTTTTGACTACGAGGGCCAGCCATACTGTGAGACCCATTACCACGCCAAGAGGGGCTCGCTGTGCGCCGGCTGCCACAAGCCCATCACAGGTGAGCGGATAAGAGTCGCCCTCCGTCCTGTACCGTGTCGTTCTCGTTCGTTGAATCGGCCATGAGCCACGCGAGTCGCGACAACGACCCTATGTCCTGGGTTTAATCGTACCAAGCGCTTTCAGTGCTCTGTGATAAAACTGATTTCATTTTATCTTTTTCATTTTTCATTTTATTTATTTATTTATTTATTTTTTTATTTATTTATTTATTTATTTATTTATTTATTTATTTATTTCATTATTTATCTTTTTTGTCACGAAGCATGTGACGGAAGAAGCTAGAGACTTCACAAACAGAAAATGGTTTATCGATTGATCCATTCCACTTTAGCCTAATTTACGTAACATTCATTGCGTTTTTTTTCTTGTCTTCCAGGCCGGTGCGTCACTGCCATGTTCAAAAAGTTTCACCCGGAACACTTCAACTGCTCGTTCTGTCTGAAACAGCTCAACAAGGGCACCTTCAAGGAGCAGGACGACAAGCCCTACTGCCACCAGTGTTTCGAAAAGCTGTTCGGCTAAGTCACCAGTGGGATACCAGTGAGAAGGGATCCAAGTCCTCGGAACGATACTTTGGGCCAACTGAGGAGGGGCACTCTAGACTGTGCGGAGCTGCTTCAAATACTTCCTCAGTGTATCGATGATACAAGTGGCGTTTTGGCGATTACCCATCTCCGACGATCGTCGACTCGCCAGCATTTGCCATCTGTTCATCGGCTGACGCCAAATTCTCATCAGATGCCATCAATCCGCCATTAAGTTACATCATCCCGCCACTACACGGCATCACTTTGTCATATGATGATGCTCCATTGCTGGATTCCCTGTGCGCTTCATTGGCGGGCATGCAGGATGCCTGCCATTCTTGTCAGACGACCCACCCTTGATGGGGCTGAATCACAGAGAGCTTGGCCGTGTGGGTGCAGGATGATCTTGGATAACCGCTGGCATGATCTTGGCTCTCCACCTTCTAGGAGGAACGCTAAGTTTGAACGAAGCTTGCACATGACTAACCGTCGGAGAAACGTAAAAAGTCTGTACTTTAACAGTTTAGATTATGTAGTCAGCCTAACGTTTCAGATTACAAAACCTCTAAGATCTGGATGTCCGCGTGTGCGTGTCGTGGATGAAAATGCCCGGGGTTTAAATGGACAACCTAGAGTTGAACGCTGGCCAATGAACCCAAACATCTAAACCCAACCCTGGTGTCTGCTCCGAACTGGCCGCGGTTCATCCACCCTAGGTCGGTTCCTGAAGGATTTATGTACAGGCCACACTCGCCACAAATGGTCCAGCGACCATATCGCCTGCTTCTCTATCGCATCTTGCCGATGCAAATGAAGACAGGCAACCGACTCATGCTTTAGCGCGCGATTGTTGATCGCACACGTATGCTTGCTTATTGTATGTGAGTTTCTGTGTTTGCTAGCGGCCTGTATGTTGTCTAATGAAGGGGCTATGTGCCAAAGCCCCGTTCACCGGGTTTTAATGGTGTTCTGTTCAAACAGTACTTACCGTAGCACCAGTGTATGTTGTATTAGAAAAGAGGGGCCACGGCCCATCAAACTGCGGAGATATTTAACAAACCATAATAGCGATAGGTAGAGGTGTTTTAGGCCGTTGAAATGTTGAAACGGTTGACATTAACTCTCTGGTATAGGTATGATTTGTTCTCGCGGTGTGCCAAGTTGGTAGTCTATCATATAACGATGTCTCATGCGCTGTGTCTGTGCTTCATGAAGTCACCTTTGGTTACTTTTTAGAAGTCATCACCTAAAATCGCCGTGAGATTGGTGTGTATCTCTGAAAGCACACTCCTGAGTTGAGACCGGCGACACGTCTGTGTACTCTGCTTGATAACATGCATGTTAGCCTCATCAGTAGCCAGTGTGACGATGTTATACTAGCTAGTGGCATCAATGTAACCACATCCTACGAGTCATGTGTTTAGCGTGAGGCGGGACACAGACCGGTCACTCAGGGAGTGCTGCTTCTAATGATGTGTCTAGCCTAGACGCTCGCAGTGCCTCTAGCGGAGAGTTCGCTGGACAGCTCCATCGTCACAGCAGCGCCATCTAGTTACCAGCACCGGAGCACCACACTGACCTTTGAACGCGACACAAGTCATAACTATTGCCTTAAATATTGTATTTGGGGCCACATCGCAGCTTGCATGTGCCCGTGTACACTGTACATATGTATTTGCGCGGATCACACTACAGCATGTTTTCACATTCGCAAATCACCACAAACGTGCTGTGCACGGCGGCTATGCAACACAGTCCACTGGGTGTTCCGCAGACCAGCCTCTGGATGTTACAGCCACCCCTGCAGCGGCTGGAATCGATAAGAAGCACTCAAAGTCGGAATCAGCTACCACCAAAGGCAAAACGAATAACGATTGAACCTCGTGGTGATCGGACACACGTGGTAGGGACACTATGCAACTCCACGTGATATGGACAGAATTAAAACGATAACATCACTCAATACTGTCGTAGCGAGCCTATATAGACAGAAGCAGATGCCAATTTAAACGTTCACACGATCACACATCGTAACAACTGGGGGCGTCGGTCGAAAACGCAGCGGGCCAGACGCCCCCTCCCTTCACCGAAGAACCCCGGAATGTCTGTGTCGGTACCGCTCGCAGACGCAGTCGGTCCTCTCACGGAAGTAGCACAGAAGTGCGGACACGGGGCCGGCGACTGTGCTGCCATCTCTCTGCAGAGCGGCACACTCACAGGTGGCTCTCCTCCCCGTGAATCTTCAGCATGTGCTCGGCGTATCTGACGACAAAGACGGTTATACTCTTAGGTACTTTCACGTATGTACAAACACGTGTACTTATAAACGCACGCTCTCACCACGCTAGTGCTGTATGCTGGTTACTACTAAAGGCATGAAATATTCAGCACGGTCTCTGGGTCAGAGCGGGGGCCAGTGAGCAAGCCACTAGCAGAATCACTGACAGACCCGCCGACAGAATCACAGGACACGGGGGGTAAAACCACAAATGGAAGCACAAACAGAACCAATAAACAGCCACCACTAGCCGTCCGCTGTTTTGGGCTCACTTAGGTCAAGATCAACTCACTTTTCGGCGCAGTCTGATGAGAACTGTCGATGGTACATCTCCGTGTAGGCCATCTTGTAGAGGACAGCAAACACGAGCAGATGGAGCAGCAGTGTGTACAGAAAGGCCACCGTGCGTGCTGTACGGCTGGAGAGCACCAGCTGACCCTGGGAACACACGGTGAAAGAGTTAGCGATCGTCTAAGAGAGCATTAACCCTCGCATGTGTGCGGCGTTTTCCAGCTTCTAATGTGTAGGGGGGGGGGGGGTCGGTTGGACCCCCCCCTTGCCGTTTGGCCCCTGATCGAGCTAGAGCTTCGCGGAAAAAACGAGCGTGTTGCCCGTGACGAGAGGAAGCCGATGATACCCAATTTTAAGGTCCTAGGTCATTGGTTGACCTTCCAGGTCAGGTCAATGACCCAAAGTCGGGAAAATCGGGACCTATTAGAAAGTCGTAAAGTGTGGCTGCTAAGGGGTTTTTCGGGGTGATGATCACGAAAATCGTGTTAGTTTTGATCACAGATGATGTCTTTAAGCATTTAGACCAGGTCGGGTCAGGTCAGGTCAGGTCAATCAGTAGGCGTCGTGACGGGTATTCGTAGTACGTGTCAACCGCCTCTGACAGCTTCGTAACATGTTACGAAGGCACCAAAACTACTTCGTAAATGTCCAAATGGTTGCTAAATTCGAATTCAGCTCCAAAAACTAGCCTAAAAACATGTAAAACTCGAAAAAGTGAACCGAGGTCACCCGAGGTCACCAAAGGTCAATGACCTGACCTGACCTTCAGGTGACCTTAACACCCACCCTAATGCATGGGAGCAACATCAAATCACATGTTTGAACGTTTGAAACCACGAAAAGCTTGCAAACGCGCGGCTAATGCGAGCCGACGTACGCCGAATCGCGATTCCGGCCAAACATGGTCTCGGAAAAGAGGTCACAGGTCAAAGGTCATTTGGGTCAGGGTCATGAAATTTTCAGGGTAGGTGTCAAATTGATCAATGCGAGGGTACTGAAAGTTTCGTTGCGATCGGCCGCTTTTTACGCGAGTTATTCGCGAAAAACCATGGGGGGTCCATCCGACCCCCCCCCCCCCATACACATGCGAGGGTTAATGATCGTCTGGAGCACCAGCTGACCCTGAGAACACATATTGCGGAATGCGGGGTGGGGAACGGTGTTATGGAGCACCAACTGGCCCTGAGAACACATAGCAAGGGAGTCAGAGACTGTTTGGGGTAGCATTAGTGTTTGTCTGAGAGAACACCAACTGACCCTGAGAACACACGGTGAGGGAGTCGGGGACGGGACGGGTTATGGAGCACCAGGGGCTGTCTGAGAGAGCACCAGCTGACCCTGCGAGCACAAGGTGCAGGAGTCAGGGAAGGTGTCATGGAGCACCAGCTAGCCCTGAGGGGTACATGGTGTCTGTATGGGGGGGGGAAGGAGTGGGCAAAGGGAGCATTGCCCCTGGAGCACACGGCATGGGACTTAGAGCTGTGTAAGAAAGCGCCAGCACTGCATGGGATCCGGTATAGATGTCAGGGTAGCACCTGTTGAACGACCATCTCATCAGAGAACCTGCACTCAACAGAGAATAACACATCGAAAGTACGGTCTGGTTTCTGCAAATTCATAAAAATAAGCATGCACTGCACTGTGCATAATTAACGACTCCTATGATTTCCGATTGCGTATTTATCATCCAAGGATGTTTCGCAGATGCTTGGGTATTGGGCTGAATCGCACAGCAATCAGACCATGGGCATTGTGTATGTGACTTGAAAAAGCACACACACGACGTCGGTAGCCGGTCGGAGTGACAAAAACTGCTGCGAAACACAGTTTCCAGGTTTACGACAAACTGGTGTTCTGGCACACAGCTCTTTGATTGGTCCGAACTGACATCATGACAAGCCGGTTTCTGGACAGGCTGGTTGTGGTTTTCGAGGCGGTTCGCCGACGAAAAATGACACCAATTATCGGCAGCTGGTGCTAAAGCCGACACCTCGAAATCTCCGAACATCGAGAAGGTGTCAAAGTCGACATCATTTTTCGCTTTTAATGATTTTATAGGTACAAGGCTGTCAGAGCCACAGCTAATACTGCAAAAAGTTAACAGATTGTTTCGGTGGTCATGGGATTGAGAGGTTATTGCACGTTTGCAATTGCCAATTGGGTACTCGTGTCATAGAAAATGATCTCGAAGGTAGGCTGTACCGGAAGGCCTGAAACCAATAGCCGTAAAGGAAGTGACACTAAAGAGATCGACAGAATTAAAACAGGTAACAGCTGATGTCACAAAGCTCTCGTGGGGCAGCTAACCCAAGTGGCCAGCCCAGAAACATGACAGGCCTGTATGTTTCTCTAGGCCGTCCCAGAGCGACGAAACTTCTTCCGTCCTTACCATGGATAGTGTGACCTTCTCGAAGGGACTGAGCTGACTGTACTTCCTGGCCCGCTCCTGGCGCGAGAACGACGAGAACGGGTCCAGCGACTGTTCGTACTGGCTCGAGTAGCGAGACTCCACGTCCTGACCGGGCTTCTTCGGCTTCTGAAGCGCAAAAAAACCGGCGAGTTAGGTTAGAGAGGTGAATGAAAGTTGTAGCTAAAACGCACAGCCGCTCTGGGTAGCCACGAGGCATTATGATGTATCGACACATTGATTGACGTAACGGAAGCAGAAAAGAACTAAAATGTCAATTTTGTTGGTGGGAGATAAGGTTATCGCATTCACGGGTCAAACATTTCGTTTCGTAGCATATTTGATAGCCAAGTCTTTTTAACTACAAATGTACCTACATAACGTCCGCGCGTGTTGGACGAGTGAGTGCCTAACACTTCACACTGGTTATCGTCTCCAACCCCCTTCCCTCTCCAACATAGAGACACGCAGTTTATCAGTGCACCCCTGCGCCATGCCCGACATCTCCACAAACACGTCTGTCTGCTCACCTGGGACGAGTAGCTCTGCAAAAAGCGGATCTTCTCGAACAGTTTGAGGTTATCGCGCCTCAGGTCGTCGATCTCCGTATCCTTGAGGCTCAGCTCGTGTTGCGCCATGTTGCGCTCCTGTTCCAGCTCCTGAATTCTGAGCCTGGAGTCACACACGGGGACATCAACAACTCAAACACATGCTGACACGGACCGGGAGCAGCCTCGGCCCCATCGGCTGGGAGCGGATACAGGGCCGATAGAACGACTTCACACGACTCTGACCGGGATTATACCGGGTGGCCCAGAAAAAACGTTCCCAACTTTAAATCAATATTTCTCAGAAAGTGATAAAGATACAACATTGAAACTTCCAATAGTCAATGCGGCATACATTTTCAGTAAATGGTATGATTTTTATGTTATTCGGTCAATTACTTTTTAAATGGTTCGTGTTGCTAGCATGCCATGTAAAAATTACTTTTTTGCTCAGATTTTTACTAAAAAATATGAGTGAACGGGCCACTTCCATCTCGGCACCACGGCCTGCAGCCATGACTGCTACTGGCAACTAGTCTGGTTGATGGTTCAGGCCTCAGGGTGACACATTCCCTCTAGCTTTTTTCGTTATTCGGTAGATAACTAGTTGATCTTCTTGAAGGGAGGGCGATCAGCAGTAACCCATGCACCGTGCCACTCATGCTCGAAACAGGACTTGTTAAAACAAATGGCATCCATTCACAATTTTGGCGCCTTGATTTTGGCTCAGTATTTGAATATTTGGCACATAAGTGGGACAAAAATATTTAAAATAACAACACACGTTCTGGTTTCATTCACGTGTTCTATTTTTTCATTCTTTTTTTCTAACATGGTACGTCTAAGCCAATCATTACTGCCGTTCAACATCGGCAAAAAAAGCAAAAGCGTGTTACTTAATTCAACATAAGATTGCTGGCTTGAAAATGATGTTAAAGTGTTATAATTTGGCATACCAATGCGCAAAGAAGTGACGCTACCTTGATGAAAATTTTTGCTCGTTATTTGCACTCGAATTTGAGATATAGGCCTCCAAAGTTGGGAACGTTTTTTTTTGGGCCACCCGGTAGAACACTGGTCAGACGGAGCTCCCAGGTGCAGCGCTATCGGCAGTCAAAGAACAGCGGGACCACCAGGATTTGTGAGATGGCAGACACCCAGGATTAGCACTCCAGTGACGTTGGAAAGCCGCAGAGTACCGTGTAAGTCAATCATGACAGGCGGCCGAACACGGTTTGCCATTTGGCACACAGTTAGTTGCACTTTGCAGTGGACACATTTGTTGCTGGTTACAGACAGACAGGCAGGCAGGCACTGTGAGGTGGCATTCACATTGCACGAGCAAGGTTTCCAGGAAGTTTTTAAAACTCCGTTCTACGGCATTTAGCTATCAATGGATGTGATGCATGCTGAGGTTGAAGCTAGGAATTTCGACCACAAGGAATGGTCGAGTTATTAATTAAACAAGACCGCGTTATCCTTAAACAAAGTAAGTTGTCATTATTGCATGCCGTCGGCTTTCATGAAAAATGATAGCAAGTTTGACATTCTTTTCATGCATAGTCTTTCTTTTCTTCATATCATTTGAGTTTCTGCTCGAGGAGTCCCGCTGACCTGAGCTGCCAAACTAGCAGGACGTTCTCCCATCACCAACTTACCTTTGAATTAGCTAGCCTGACGTAATATCTGGCGAACTGGCAACCCTTCACCGATTAGTATGATCCTTTATTAACTGGTGACCCTTCACCCACTGACCTGAAGCGCTCCCTCTGCGCGGTGACGATGGGCAGGATGGTGTCGGCCGCCGAGCCGGGGTCCCCTCCCAGTACCGACGGAGGTCGGACAGGGGTCGGCATCGGCTCCATCGTGTCCCTCACGGCCTCTGCCACCAGCTCGGAGGAGGACGGCATCCCCTGGGACGTCAGGGGGGTAGAGGAGGTCAAATGAGGGGGAGATAGAGAGAGAGAGAGAGAGAGAGAGAGAGAGAGAGAGAGAGAGAGAGGAGAGAGAGAGAGAGAGAGAGAGAGAGAGAGAGAGAGAGAGAGAAAGAGAGAGAGAGTGAGAGAGAGAGAGAGAGAGAGAGAGAGAGAGAGAGGGAGAGAGAGAGAGAGCGGAGGGAGATACGGCATCTCCTGCACGTGAGAAAAATGTGAAGGACAAGCCGAGGTCAACAGGGGCACATCGAGAGGGAGTAACAAAGAGGTGAAGAGGGGGGTGGGACTATAGGGAGGTATATATAAGAATATAGGAATTAAATTCGGTCGACGAACATTTTCAATCCAAACTGTCCTGTTAATAAATCATAGGGGAATATGGCGGGATGGATATTCCAGCTGTTGCCGATAGGTACCTACCTATCTAAAAAAATTACATTCGGCAATCGGCTAAGAAAGTAGCATCCAATTTCTAGACGTTCTGTATTGTCACGTAAGTGTAAAAAAAAAATGTTTAAGCAGAAATTATATTTCCGCCTCCGTACCTATATGCCTATGTATTTCATCATTCTTGAGCGACTGAGCGTGTCTAAGAGAGGGTGGAGTACTCTAGTCGGACGTTGTGCACTTAAACTTTTGACCTGCCATGTGTCACATCACCATTCAATCTGCTCATAGTTGCGATTTACCCACTGAAGCCATGCAACATTGCATGCAAAGCGGTCGGTGTTGGTGTGACAACGGTTCCAAAACGCTTTTGGCAGCCGCCGTTAAAAACGTCCACCATCGGTATTTGAGAAAACGCTGGAGATAAGACTACAAAAAGCATCACGAAACACTGATTGAAGTGCCGTTATTCAAATGAGTATCGTTGGAAGGCATTCGTATTGCGTAGGTATATACTCCGTCGTTTCTGTACTAGGTTTCTTTTATGTTTCAAAAAGCTGTACATACAATTATCGGTTATGATAAAAAGGTAATCAAGAGTTCAAATGTAGCTGATCAAATGTGACTGATTAAAGTATCACTTCAAGTTGTGTTTTACATAACAAGAGATGCATCGATTGCATTAACTCATACCTAATATCAACACTTGTTTCCGTTCCGTTTTCGAGACGGAACCACTCAAACCGCTGTCAGGCCGGGGCGGCCTCCCCGCAAAACCACGACATGGAAACAGCATTCAGTTGAACGGTTATCCGTGGACATTTTAATTCCCGATTACCGTTGTCAGCCCAGCACAGTGGTAAAAACGATCGAACATACCGGGGCAGTCGATTCGTGTACTACAACCTGTAGCAGTGCAGTCACTGGAGCATTGTGTGCTCAATTTCACAAAATGGTTTAACTCAATAAATCAAATTAATAAAAGGCGGACTCCCTCGTCGACCTCGTCTTACGTGCAACAATTTCGATTCACCTCGCAGAAAGCTGAATCTCCTTTGGTAGAGTTTGGCGTACTTCATCCATGGTTTGGCCGCAGGAGAGTTATGAAATGGTTTGCGGTTTACCGTAAAGGCTACTCCATCTGCATACATATTTACCGCGTTTAACTGCATGCATGTTAACGAATGTAATTATACGCACTCCAACCTTACATTTTTTTGTCTAATTAAAAATGCAAAAAAAAAAACAGGTAGATATCTGACGCCTCTCTCTCTCTCTCTCTCTCTCTCTCTCTCTCTCTCTCTCTCTCTCTCTCTCTCTCTCTCTCTCTCTCTCTCTCTCTCTCTCTCTCTCTCCCTACCTTCCTCCCTGCCTCCCTCCATCTCCTCTCTCCCTCTCCCACCCCATCTCCCCCTTTCCTCCCGTGACTGACCTCTCCCTCGCCGCGGCATATGGCCGCCACCGAGTTCATGCTGCCCAGGTCATCCTCCAGCTTCTGAACCAGCTGACGCTGCTGCTCGATCGTCTCCAGGTGCTGGTCACGCTCCCTCTCCAGCGAGTCGCAGCGCGCTGTCGACAGAGAGGCAGGGGCAGACTGGTCAGTGGAGGTGGTGGAGCGCTGCAGAGATCAGTGTTTGGAGACTAATGGTCAGTAATTTGAATCACATTAGTCATTCAGACGTCTAATAACATGTCAGCAGTGTGTGATCAGGTCGTTTTGGATCAGAAGTCTGAGATCCCAAAGGTCATTGTTGATTGGAATCTCCGAGCAATGGGCTAGTTAGAGCAGTTGCAGCAGTCAGTGGTCAAAGAGTTATCTATCGGCATTCAGTGGTCACTGGTCAGTGGTCAGTGGTCAGTGGTGATGGTCAGTAGTCACCGGTCTTTGAGTGGCCGAGTGAACGTTCAGAAGTCGGAGAAGCGCGATACGCCGATTCAGAAATACACATTTCACAGCATACATCATGCACGGTCACAGGGTGGGACATCCCGGGAGAGACAGGGTGGGGTGGGCGCGGGAAGTCGGCATTCGTCCCACCTAAGAACCCTTTTCGTGCAGCGTCGGAATTCTTCCGGTCGCTAATGAAGAAAACAGTGAACCTGAAAAAGTCACAACTTCATCAATGTCAGGCAAGAAATACCAGTGCATTTTAGCTGAAGAGCTAGAGATCAGTGCATAAATTGGTATACGTAAAAAACAGTTCTTCTATGCAGCTCTAAAGGCATCATATGACCCGCCATATATCATGATATGGCGGTCATATGATATGGTGGTAATAAAGGCATTATACACCACCGCTTACACTATTTACAAAAAAAAAAATAGAGTGATGATCACTGCTCACTGCCCATGTGGTGCTCAAACATCCCACATTCCCGGCGTGGGTAAGAATAACTTTGATAAGAAATCGAGTGTCAAATCAATTCAAATGATGTTCAATCAATGATAATGTAGGTGAATCTGAATGTCAGTGCGTCGACAAACGTCAATAATTGTAAGCGTCAAAACAAATAAATGAAAAGCCGCTGAAAAAAAGCCACAGATTAAAAGCCGCCGGAAAAAAAACACTTTACGAAACCACGATGCGTCAGCATTGCCAGTGTTTCACTTCTGTATGTTTATGTACTGTCAATACAAACACTGTTCATCATATATAGCTACAAAACATATGTGCTACTCAGAACGTTGTATTTCGGCCATTTGTCCCTCTAAACTGGTTATGTTTAAAAACACCAAATGAGAAACGTAAAGAAGCCTTGCTTTCGAAACGTGAAGCATCGTCTTTGAATTACATAGTACCTACCTCCCTATGATAGCTGGTTCTTTAATCACGTGGATAATTTTTATAATTATACATATTCGATTCTTTATGATAGCATGATAACGTTTATGCAACGTAAACGATTTTAAGTACTTTTTAACGTAGTGTCAGTGGTTGGGGGACGGTAAAACTCACAAAGTGGTGTCCTTGAAGCCCACTTAAACATGGCTGGCGTGGATGTACCATCATGCCGTTTCCGCGGCTCATCCAGATTTAAGCGGGGCTCATTCCTACTGTTCGGCGGGGTCCAACTGATAATCTGAACACATTCCCCGCAGCCTTACCGACTGTTGTTCACCTGATCCTCTCACATAGGCTCAGCCTCATTCATGATGTGCATTGTCCGAGCATATCTCATGTTCGGCGCTACGCATGGCTGCAACCAATTTAGTGAGCGGAAATTCCACGAAGACAAAAGTTTTACGTTATATAACACCAACCAAGCCAAGGTTCATAGGGTATTTTAGGTCGCTACCATTGACTGGGGCATAGACAGAGGTCTATGTCGTTACCAAGCTGAGCTCGAAGTACAGGATGATCAATGAAGAATGACATAAAGTGGGCCCACGCAGGAGGCACAAAATAACACGTTAAAAATAAAAACAGATTCGCAAAATATTGGCAGGTGTTTTTTCGACCTGATCTTTCATTGATCTTGGGTCAGAGCGTGACCTTCAGATGTAAAATTGAGAGAAGCTACAGGTCATGAAAAGGTGCCATTTTCAGCGCTCTAGCTCTGCTGGGTGGGCCACAATCTGCTGAGCGAATCAGAAGGCCGTGACCTTTGTTGACCTCTCTAGGTCAAACAAAGATCGTTTCGAAACAAAACCCCAAGAAATGTATATGTCGGGTTTTTACTATCTGTGACCTAAGGTCAGGTCAATTTTGCGACCTCTCCATTGTAAGTTAATGGGATAGAATTGAAATGCGCCTCTTTTGGACAAAAGTCGTTCAAAACCTCTTAAACATCGGTTCATAGGTAAAGATGACACAATGAATCGGAAAAATGCACCTGTGATCCTTCTGCATGCCCTTGAGGTCATCTCAGGTCATGAACGGTCACCAGCAGTTTTTTGGCTATAACTTTTGATAGAAACGTGCCAAAGCGGTGAAAACACGTCAGATGTGTTCAGCCCGACGATACGGATCGACTGATATGCAGCATGACCCTTTCCGGTCAGGTCATGACCTTGACCTGAGGTCAAATTTTCAAAATGGCCTCCTTTTAATGTCAATGTATAGTTCATTCGACGCGTCTCGACGAGAGGAACATGATGCTGTCAAAAGTATTGTCGAGGCTCTCTTGAGTCAAAAGTTAATACCGAAAAACATTTGTATGTGTGAAAACTGCTATTTTTAGTTTTTGCCCTCTGGAGGCTAAACCGTTGACCCGAGGTCAAATCTCAGAACATTAGACAGAAAGTTCTGTGAAAGGGCTATCGAATTCGCTTTTCTGCGGCGCTGTAGCTCTATTCGTTCCCGAGTTAGCCATTGGCAGTTTCCAAAATTGTTGAAAGGGACTAAATTTTACCTTTGATGACCTCTGGTGACCTGACCTTTGACCTGACCTAAAAATTGAACGAACAGTCTCCGTCATTATTTTTGACGCTCTTTTGATTGCCGCTTACCGCGTGTCGCTACGTCGCCCAGGAGCCGAGTTAGAGGGGGGGGGGGCGTGAAAACGCCTCCCCCCAGCACGACACGGAAAACACAGGCCACCAGCACGGCGCGGGCCGAACGAACGGTCTAGCTCACGTATGCATCCTGCTCCCGAGCTCTGTAGTGAGCGATTTTCAAGTCGATCCGAAATATTCCGAATCTATGCAAAATCTATGCAAGCAAAACATGATATGTCTAACTGACTCTAAACGGACTTTCTTAAAATGCCTCCAAGTACGATGGTCTTTACCAAAGTACCTTTGGTGATCTGACCTTAACCTGACCTTTACCTTAAACTGCTAAACTTTGTGTTATGAGACGAAGACGGTGGAGGATTGAGGAATTCCACTGAATTCTACGACCGAAACTTGGCCAGAAAACATGCCTCACATGCCATTTGGGCATTTATCTTTTCTAAAACTATTGACCTTTTCGTCCTGACCCTGACCTTAAGTTCCTAATATGGTGTATGTAGTTGTACGAGTTTGGTACTTTCGGAAAACCTTGATCAAGCCTTTATCAGTATTTTAGCCGAAAATACTCATTACCTTCGACAATGCATTCACAAAATCCCTTATTTAGAATATGCACAATTTGAAGTTTTGACCTGACCTTTATTTGTTACTTTATCTGAAATTCCAAATTTCTGGGTAGGGTTTCACGATGCTTAATTTTATAGATAAGCTGAAGGGGGGGGGGGGATTAAAGGGAATAGTTCACTTTCCCGAAATTAGTTTTTTTTGCAATGAATTTATTGATTTATGCTCAAAATGATCAGCAAAGAAATTTAAACCGTTTTTAAGAGTATTATTTTCTATATTTTGATATAGGAAGAACTATAGGTACTCTATGTAAAATCCTACCTATTGTTCGACGCGGAAGCTTTTTACTCGTTGACCAATCATAGGTATTGAGTCATTCAAACCCACTGGCTGTAAAGCAGCATGCTGATTGGCTGACGACGATGACGTGCAGCTGCATTCCTCAGCAGTCAGCAAGGCACGCATTCCTCAGCAAGGCACTTTTTCGGGACGAGAAATGGAATATCGACTTTGCCTATGGTGATCGTTGGGCCGTAAAAGCTCCCGATCAGCTCAAGCTATACGAAACTGCTATTCCAGTTCAAAACCCTATGTTTAAAGTGAACTATTGCCTTTAAACGTTCTGTCAGTTAATGCCGTTCGGCTATTGACTTAGTCAAGCGCTAGCTAAGAGCTTTCCATTGCCGTTTTCTACGTCTATCTACGAGTATCTCGCCACCCATTCAAAATTTAGACTCTCACATGAACCAGCTATGTCGGCACATTACACGATACTAGAAAGTCTTATTTACCTTGAGCCGTTCCAATTAGTCAGACCGTAGTGTAGGTAGTTTGTGACACTCTTCAGCAGCAGACACAGATCAGTAGTAGCTCCAGTTGACTGTCACCGTCGCTCCCAGAGGTACAGCGCTCCCAGAGTACACCACCGGTACAATTAGAGGAAGTGGGGTAAGACGGCCACCCCCTCTGCAGACCTAATCAGTAACGCTACGAGCGAAAAAATAGGGCCAGAAAAATCGTGCGGAGCTTCTGATATTAGTATGCGGTAAGACGGCCAGGAGCAGGATCCAATTGGTCTTTAACTAGTAAAAATGCTTATGTTGCTGTAGGAAAGTATTTCTGATGAAAATATGTTCGATTTCGATACACAAATACATATTAGCAATATTGCATCGGTAGATACCTACTTACAATTTATTCTGGAACACTAAAAATGAATGAGACGGCTTTACAACGCCTCCGACATGGCCTATATGCGAGCATACGCATTCTGCACGAACCTCGCATGCTACCTTTTCCCAAGGATTTGAAATCAACGAGTGACTGTATCAATGCGGCTACTCTCGGGCATTTATTACCAGCTGTGCCGGTCGGTGAAAGAGGCTGGCCGTTTTACCTCATGGGGTGGGGCAAGACGATTTTTGAAAGGTTTTGCAAAATAGCTACAATTTATTTGTTGCGTCAGCTCGAAGTTTCACCTTCTGGGAAATGTAAGTAAAATGTCTAGAGGGTTTCACTCAGTTTTGCGTCCCTACACCATTTCTAACCAGCCGAAAAGTGGCTCCAAAATTAGGGTGGCGATCTTATCCCACTTTCCCTAGTTACAAACCAAGGCTGCGGAGTCTGAGTTGAAGTCGGTCGGAGTCGACAATTCTGACCGAAGTCGGAATCGATTTCGGAAGCGTTGCTATTCTACAGCAGAAGTCCACGTAGCGTGCTTTAACGTGCGTAATTGCACGTTTTCGGCATTACCCCAGCCAGCCATACTTTCATTTGCAGGCCCATAACTTTTCAACGTGCCGTATAAATTTCAAATAGGCAGCACACTTATGCAAAGACATGCTGAAGATTACTTGACCGAATTGGCCAGACAAACGGTAGCATAATGAGTAAGAAATGCAGCTTCAAAGGCGCATGTAGTACAAGGAACGCGTACCTTGAAAACGCTCTTGGCGCCCTCACAGCCGAAGTATTCCGAATGACGACTCGGTAACAAACATGCGATAATTGTAGTCACTTAAGCTTAAGAGCATCACTGACAGGTGGCATCCATGTCTTACGGTTTTCGAAATATCTCGAATTTCGGCTTTGCCCCAACTCCGGCATTGCCCCAACTTCCCCTACTTATCTTAATCCTATTGCAAGAAAAAGGTTTTGCCACCATTCAGTTCGACAATATTCATGATGATCCTAAAAGATAAGACATAAAGCCTGATCTCGGGTCAGTCAAGATATGACCCGAACAGGTCACCTTGCAGTCTGCACAATGCGTAGACGAGACACACTAACACAAGGTCCATGCGAAGACGAGACGAACATCCCTAGTTATTTGTATTTATTCAAATAGGTATGTAAGACCACATGTGACCCAGCGTGACCTCCAATGACGTTGTGTCACGGAAAAAATGTGCCCCCGGTCACAGTAAAAAACTCACATAATTTTGAAAAGTTTCGGATACCTATCATCAATGCGATGTGATAAGAAACAAGTACTAATAATAATTTGAACCGTACCTATTCCGTTTTAGACGGTTCAATTGAAAATGCATCGGTTTTATTCAAAAGAACTCTGCTCCGTGTTTGACATGAACGTAGTGAGTTTACTAACCGAACTTTGTGACCTACCTAGAACTACTTCGTAATGATCTCACAGGTATCGTTCTTTATATTTTGGACATAATAGCCCATCTAACCACAGGATTTCGGTGTTTGATCCTAGTTACCAATAATCGTCGGCATTGTCGGTAATGTAGAGCTTTGACCCGACCTGAGTGAGACCTTGTCTTGCCCAAGCTCTCCCGCGCCAGTCCGGGGGCTAAGAAAAAAAATAATACCTTAGCATGCAGGCAACAATGAGATATAAAAATAATTCTGCTTTTATTGCTGGGAAGGTAGTAGTCTACCAAAAGACGGATAATTAGGTACTCCAATTAATATGTGAGTTTGGCGGTTAAGTTTATAACAACGAATAAGAGTGATGGAAAAGGTTCGATGAGGAATGCAAACCAGATTACCCATTCGAGAGCAAGAGTTTATTTTGTAGATAAGCTTACAGCTTCTGTACTGATCACACTGTCCGTAAAGTATCTTACAGATATACACTGGTCAACGCATTTGTCCTGGGACATTGCAACAGGGGCTCAATTAACCGTAACACGCAAAGGCCGAGACGGCCACACATAATTGCAACATGCACACACACGCGCCGGCGCGGCACGCAGACAGACTTACAGACAGGTCCGGGCGCGGCAGGTCCGATGCGGGCCGCGCGTGCGACCACCTAGGCGCTACAAGTATATCAAAATGAGTGGACGCCTCGCCGGCAGGGCGGGCACGACAACACACCCGAGGGCGGGGCGCGGGGAGGGGTGCCCGTCTCCCGGGGGAGACGGTGGGGGGGGGGGCGTCGCCGTGCTGCGGAGATCATTGTGAGGCGGAGCCGGCCGGCGGCCGGTGGCACGGTGCGGCACGGCGCGGCCGCTGGCCACCGACCGACCCCGCCGGGCGCAGTAAGGCAGCGGCCGGAACACCACTCGGCAATAACAACGTGAGGGGAGAACAGACAACACGAACAACGTCCTGCAGCGCGCGTACCGAGCGCACCACCTCTCTGTCTTTTGTCGGCCGACTAGCGCGAGCGGGCCGCTCAGCCCGACCAGTCGCTCGGCCCTTCCTCGGACTACATAAAAACGGCCGCCACCGCCACCGACGCCGGGACGCCGGCCGCGCGGCGGCGGCGGCGGCACACATACAAAAATATGGGATGAGAACACAACGCGAGTGGGCCGTCGGCGGCAACGGCGGCCAGACGCCACTCTGTGGCGCCCCCGAGGGCCGGTTTAGAGTCGAACTGACGTATCACTTGGCATCTGAACTTGGCTGACTGGATAGTGTGTACGAGAAGCGCCACGACTGGACATTGCACGTGCGCCGGCTACTCGGCTTCTGACGAGTCCGGCTCGGCGTCGGTCGGCTCCCCCTTCACCGGCTCCGGCTCCGGCTCCGGCTCCTGTTCGGGCTCCGGGCCTTCCTCCTCCCGTTCGGCGTCGTCCGGCTCCCGTTTCAGCTCGGGGTCGGGCTCTGGCGCGCTCTCTGGTTCGACCCGGACCAGCGGCTGGGCGGGCTCGGCGCCCGCCTCGCCGCCCTCCAGCTCGGTCTGCATCACGCAGACGCCATTGATGAGCTGCTGCGGCTGCGGCGTCCGGCGCGGCTCGGCCGCCCACTGCGGGTTCACCCACTGCGGCGCGGCCGGCTTGCGCCGCGAGCTGCGGCCCGCCGGCGCCGCCTGACGTCGCTCACCGCCCTCCTCATCATCATCGTCACCCTCCGGCGAACCGGCCGGCGGCGGACTCGAGCCGCCGGACATGTTGGACGCGTCGTCACTCTGGTTGTCGAAGTCGTTGTCGGACTTCATGCTCAGATCGAGACCGCTCATGGGCTCACCGGACAGCCGACCGTCGAGGAAGGGGAAGGGCAGGGGACCAGTGAGCCCGGCGAACGGCAGCGGGCCCGGCAGGGGACCTCCGCCGCCAGCCGCCACTGCCTTCTCTCGGTGCAGTTCCTGCAGACGCCGGTTCAGCAGCAGTCGGAACTGGAGCGGATCCAGCTGTTGGCCGTCGCGCGCCCCCGCGGCGAGGTAGGGCGCCGGCTCTCCGGCGGCCCCCGTCTGCTGCTTCAGCCGCATCCGGTGATTGTGGAACCAGTTGGTGATGGTGCGGTGGGTCAGATTGAGCTCCTGGCACAGAAACTCCACGGATGTCATGTTGGGGTACGGGTCCATGGCGAACGCCAGCTTCAGCGCTTCCTTCTGCTCGTCAGAGAAGAGGACGCGCGACTTCTTGGCGTTGGGGCTGTTGGACATGGTGGAGTAGACGTCCGAGCTGTCGTTGCTCTCACTGGCGGTCTCCATCTGTGAGCGGCGCCGCTTGGAGCTCTCCTTGCGGTCGCTCTTGATGCGCTGAAGCTTGTCCAGGTTCCTCGGCGTGTCCTCCAACCACATCTTCATCCGGATGAAGGGCTCGCGGCCCTTGATGCTGAGCAGGTGCCACGGTTTGGGCTTGGAGAGCAGTTCACTGACCGACCCCTGAGACAGGCCCAGCACCGTCTCTCCGAACAGCTGAAACCAGAGAGCAGACACACAGACACACACGGTCAGGCAGTGATCACGGCTGTACTGCATTCTTCATAGGATGAGCTGGCAGTGAACTCACAGGAAAAAGCAGCGAACTGTGAAAGTGTCTTACAATGATCACAAAGTCGCACCGTCCGACAGCGCATGTCGTCAACCGGCTTCCCGATCCTCCCCACCCCTCCGCCCTCTCCCCACCCTGACCACTCTCTCCACCCAGCGACCGCGGCTCGCTGACCAGTCGCGCGTACTCCATAGCGCTACATCAAACTAAAAACGGCCAAAATCCGTATCACACCGGCTGCCCAGTGGCGTTACAGGGCGTTGGACTGAGAGAGGCGGACCGGCAGCGCGGCGGTCCGCCCTAATGGGATGATCCCGCAGGCGCCGCCCCCCTCAGTCGGACCGGGATGAGCCGGTGAACCAGCCCGGGTTACACCGACACCGAGTGACACCAGCGTGTAAACCCCCAGGCGCCGCATAGTGATCTGACGTACGTCAGCGTCGAGCTAGGATCAGCGGCTCACAGGGGCTGGATAGCAGCGCATTGGAACGGAACACACAGCCCACAGGTAAAACACAGCTGATCAGTCAGCTACTCTGCCTGTATAAAGACCCTTTCCCTTCAACCATATGACCCTTTCCCCCAACCTCGGTATACCTCTGTATACCGAGGTATACAAAGGTCTATGCTTCAACGTCTCCTCCTGCCGTACCTTTTGTCCGATGTTATTGGCCAGCAGCACCTCCTTGATCTTGGTGGTGATGTACTGTGTATCCAGCTCCGGAGTGATGGCCGCTGTCTCGTACACAGACATAGGTAGCTGGCCTGCGGTGGGCATCCGCAGGCCAAACTTCATCAGAGGGTCCATGCCGGGGAGGCGCGACGCTAGCGCCGCCGGCGGCAGGCCGGGGAAACCTCCGGCGGCCAGTGAGACAGCCGGCGGCAGCGGCGACTCGAGAGACTTGGGCATGTCCGGCAGCTTCAGCGGCATCTTGGGGAAGCCTGGGTACGAGCGGAGAGCACAGGGAGCGTAAGGAAGAGTATACGGCAGGGGCGTGGAAAAACATGAATAACAGGTATAAAAAATGAAAAAGAATGCGATTCAGCGAATGGTAAATGGAATTCCATGCTGCGTATAAATTCCAAAAAGAAACTCATCTCGATCAGCGTGTCGACCATGTCGACTCGTCTGCGAGCGACACCCACCGGGCCGTTTACCTCCATTGTAGCAGCCGGTGCGCATCAGTTTCTCGGGCGCTATTTTGTACTGACTGGCCACCAGCTTGTGCACGGCGTTCTCGTCATCCAGGAACATTTTCATCCTAATGAAGGGCTCGCGACCCTTCTGGGTGAGCATGTGCCAGGGCTTGGGGCGCGCCAGCAGGTCGGAGACGGAGCCCTGAGACAGGCCTAGTACCGACTCGCCGAACAGACGCTGTGAGATGGAGTACTGGCTGAGGTGCTCCTTGATCTGCCGACCGGGGGAACGGGAGGTCAGAGTGGGACTCTGGCGGCCGGCGGAGAGGTGACGGTTGTTAGTATTGTCGCGTATGGAAGTTCTAGGGTTTATCTCGATGAGTCACCACCACACTGACTCGCCCCCCCCCCCGCCATGCGATGGACCGGCGAGTCACTTAAGCGGCGCCGATTCCGACTGACGGCAATACTGGCGCGGCGGCGACACTGCCATAAACCACAGCCGGCGGCGGCGCCGGTCACCGAAGGTTGAGGTCACCAGCGGCCGGCCGGCTGTCCAAACAAAGCGTCCCCCGGCCGCGCGATGACAAATTCCGGCCATTAATCGGTGCAGTACGCGGCGTCAATGGAGCCGCGCCGCTGCAGCGCGGCCCTCACAGTCACCGCGCCGGCGCCGGCCGCATTAATTACTCACGGTCGCCGGTCCAAATGTCTGCCTACACCAGCGCTGTGTCACGTCAAACGGCCAGTCACTCGGCGCTAGGGATCTGCGGATGACGAGACGCGGCGCGGCGGAACGAGAACTGGGCGCCCGACGCACCAGAAGGGGTGAGCGATTAGGGAAAGATCGGGCGCTTGGATGTCGGTAACCAGGATGACTTTGAGAGAGCACAACACAAAGAGGAATGTAGAAGGGTTGGTGGAGCACGTACGGCATCACGTACCCTCCTGACCACCTCCTCCGTGTTGAGGTTGCTGAACTGGTCGAACTGCTGCTGGGTGATGGGCGGCAGCACGGCCTTCATGGGTCGCGGCGGGTGCGGCTGCAGCGGGGGCAGCGCGGCGCTGTTCATCAGCGAGTTGGTGATGCTGGCCATCCGCTGCAGCGGGCTGGCAGCCGTGACCAGCTCGTCGGGCGCGGTGGAGGCCGCGGCCGCAGCCGCTGCCGCCGCCGCCGAGTGCATGAAGAACCCGGCCGGGTGGAGGCCGGACAGCGGGCCGGGACCCGGGCCGACCGCCGAGCCGCCCCCGCCCGAGGTGGGCGGCAGAGAGCCCGGACTGGACACGGCCGTCGCTGCGGGCAGACGGGAAGATATTAATAAAATAATTCGGCATTCATGAAAGACGTTTCTGCAAAGATGTTTACCACTGGAAAACGTAGCATCAACAAATATGCATTACAAAAATAAACAGTGTCGAATAACATCACCATCTTCTCAATATTTCATGTGACTTTCACATCATATACCCCTAGGTAACCCATAATTAAGACTACCCTTTCACGGCCGCCGTACCTTTGTGCGCCTCGGTCGAGGGCGGTCGGACCTGGCTGAACGCTGAGCTGCCCTTCTCGTCACCCCCGTCCGCCGGACTGTCCGGCCGGCCGCCGCGAGTCGGTGGTCTCTCCTGCTGTCCAGCAGCCGCTGCTGCCGCCGGGCCGGCGCCGCTGACGGCCGGCAGCGGCTGCTGCGCCTGCTGGTGCTGCTGCTGAGCCTGCTGCAGGTGCTGCATGTGCCGCACCAGCTCCTGGTTGTAGAAGTCCATGGCGCTACGCAGCTCCTCCGGGTTACGGAGTCTGTGGAGAGGAGGGTCAGGCGTGTCAGGTGTGTCAGGAGTGTCAGATGTCAGGCGTGTCAGGTGTGTCAGATGTCAGATGTCAGGTGTGTCAGGTATGTTTGATGTGTTAGATGTGTCAGGTGTGTTAGATGTGTTTGATGTGTCAGGTGTGTCAGGCGTGTCAAATGTGTCAGCGTGTCATGCGTGTCAGGTGTGTCACTATCAATCTACCCACCCACTCACCCTCTCCCAATCCCACGCACTTCAGACTTCCCGTCCATCCGACGCGTCTCTCTCGCCCATCCAGATGTCCCCTCCTTCAGCCATCTCCGTCTGACGGACGAGCCCGGCAACAAGAGCTCGCTTCTTTACGGCGCGGCGGCGGCCACAGATCGACGGTGGATGTGTCACTTCTACGAACGCGCCGGGCGGTGACAGACACCAGACGGTGGCCGAGGCGAGGCGACACTGTCGGTTAGCTCCCGGCCGCGCAGACCGCCGCCTTGGCTGGCTACCGGCCGCTCCGACCGCCGTCGCCTGCCTTTCACTCACTGCTAAGGCATCCGCTCTGCATTGCTCGCCTACGACCAAAGACATTTAAATTTTGATTGAACTTTGACGTTAGAGCAGATAGCACTTGTTGATTTAGGCACACGTGTGAAAACATCATTCCACTTTGGTCTCCTACTAAATTAAAAAAGTTACAAAGTTAACAATACATCCGATTGAATTCAGCAAAGTTTTAGATGCACAGTGGCGTCTTGCAGTCCAGTCAGTCTCCCGACTGATCGGCCCTGACCGTCGCCTGGTCCCTGCTCGGCCATCATCCGACCATCATCTAACCATCATCCAACCACCGCCCGCACCATCGGACGGTCACCAGTTCGTTCCATGTGACGCGACACGGGTGCTATTTCGGCCGGCGACATTTGGCAGCACCGGCAGGACAGGTGCCATCGACGGCGACACGAGGCGACGCGGGTGACATCGGGTGACATCGGGTGACACAGCACAGTCGCACTGCTGCCCAACTGGGCCGGAAGCGCCAAACCGATCTGTCCGCTGCATGAGCCGATGGTACCAAGAGGTACAGAAGTTCAGGAAACTGGAAATAGCATGCGAGGATTTCAAGGGTCAACGTTCGCATTTGTGCTGGTCACCAGCGGCTTCCGAAGGATCAAACCAAGCTCCTTAGACTCCCGAGCGCGGTGATTTTTTTTTTATCAAACTCTCTGACGCAGAAATATTAAGCCTACCTTACCAAAGCAAGCGTTTTAACCCGATCCGAATAAATCACCACGTAATCCACACATAAATCCGGTCGGGAATCGGTGCGCCGTTGTTGCGTCTCTATTGGTGTTAGTCCGTGGACCATCCACTATCCGTCGGGAGGCACCCGACACCAGTGGTGAATGATGTCCCGTATCAGCGGCCGGGTGCCGTGTCTCAGCAGCGAGAGGCGATTGGCATTGGCCGCGTAACCGAGCCCTATCCAAACATCGGCGCTGCAGGCTGCCTGTCGCACCCGGCTGCCGGCGCGGCCCGGCCGCATATTTAACTCTGAGCGCACTGCGGCCAGGTCGGTAGCCCGGCGCCGTCCATCGTGCGGGCGATTCTCGTGACAGGGGCGTGGTCCGACCTACCATGTCCAGTCAGCCGACATCGAGAGTCCACAATGAATGGCACCGTGGCGAGCGAACACGATCGGTGCCGGCGATAGCGACCGGACAGAATACCGATCCCGCGGACCATGGTCCGGCCAGCGGGGTGGTCCGCCGGGTGGTCCGGGCTCCCACGGTCTCCGTGCACAGCTGGGTCACCGCACCGGGCGCGGTCGGTCGGCGATTATACAGTCAGGCGCGATCGGTCTGGGATTATCGAACGCGCGGGGGAGGAGGTAAGACGTACCGCTGGTAGTGGTCAAGACTGAAGCCGGGCGGCATGTCGGGCCGCTGTCCCATCATCTTGGCCAGGTGCTCCTGGTACAGGCGGGCGATCTTCTCCTGTGTCCCCTCCTCTGGACCCGGACCCGGTCCGCCCAGCCGCCGCATACGCTGCAGCGCATCCCGCGAGTCCGACAGCGGGGACTGCAACAGAGGACACAGACGGGTCAGACGAGTCAAACAGAGTCATAGTGGATCAGTCACAGGCAAAAACGACTGGTGGTTCAGTGAACCTCCAGTCCGGTTATGCATTATACCATGATAATCAGTAAGGCCAATGACAGCGTCCAGCCCCATCACCGCGCGACACAGGCTGCCACGCTCGGGATTAGTGCACAGGATCAGCTCACAACTGAATGAGCCCCACACCTCATCTGCATAACCCGGCTGGGCGGCCGTCACCAGAAGGCTCCAGTGGCATCCAGCACCGGCGTAGCACTGCCCAGTCGTCTACGTCAAATGAGTTGGAGCAGCCATCCCCAGCGAGGCGTCACCTCACGGCAGAGCAGCGGATCTATAAGAAGAGCCCTCTCCCGTCCCTGTTCGTCGTCCCCGAGTGATAGTGTCTCCAGCAGCTGAGGGCAGCCGCTGAGACAGCCCGGTCGGCGGGTCGGGCGACCCCACCTGGTCCACCAGCGGCGCAACACAACGCCCCCGGCACCGGAAGCTTGCACAACACCACTGGCTGGCCATAAATAACGCCCGATTGCCCGTGTGTTGCGGAGCCACTATTGTGATGACGCCCCCTTCCCGAGCAGCCGGTCGCATGAAGCAACTCTGCCATATAATCGTGCATATCCGGCACTAACCGTTTCTGCCGAGCCTTTCACGCTGTAACAGCTCAGACCGGCGCCTTCTGGTCGTACAGCGGTCACATGCCACACCCAGGAAGCTTCCCGCCCCTCCCAACCGCCCAGCGCGGTGCAGCGACTGACCCGGTGTGAGCGCCCCGTCGGGGGCCTCTCACTGCCGTCACCGACTAACTAATCGCTCGGGCTACAGTGCAGGAGACATGCAAGAGGCAGCGGCTACCGTGCGCAGGAGGCCGACCGCCGACCGTCGCCGACACGGTCCCCCTCTGAGCTATAATCCGAGCCAACGGCACTGGCTCGGTAGGCCCAACTCCGCATCGTACGACCATCGTCCACCGCCTGACCGACCGCCCGGCCGGCCCCCAGCGCGCACTTGTAGACAATATATCAATTGAGCGAGTCAACTTAATTGAACGTCTGTCGATGATAAAGACAGAGTGACCTGCAAAGTCCGGTCGCGTTCCGTCGCTGTTCGGCTGCAGGTCGGATAGCGCAGCTCCCAGAGTCATCGGCGACTGCCCCGAGGTCCATCATCGCGCATCTGACGCGTCAAATCTGATCACACAGCTAATAACCAACAACGCCAGTCTCCGACCACACGGAAAAAAGGCCGGCTAGTGACGCCAACACACCGTGGCATCACCGGGCTCCTGATAAATGCCGCTAATGTTCCTGGATCTCCCGCTTCTAGCCGTATATCGACTCAGCGGTGGCATGACAACAAGCAATGCACAACTGCGGTCACTGAGCACACATCAGGCGCCGCGGCAGCGGAAACCGACGGACGTGTTCCCAGAAGGCTTCATTGAAGGAGAAAATGACCGGCGCGGCAGCAATCGACACCGCTCGACTGGGCTCGCCAGCTGCACGGTGCACGATGACTGGGTTCGCCAGCTGCACGGTGCACGATGGCGCTCGTCCGCTGCTGGACCACATCCTCCTATTGACAGCGGTTTGTTCGTTCGGTGTCACTGCCCTATTGACAGCAGTTCGCCAGTTCAGTGTCACAGTCACTCTCCCCTTCACCCATCGACAGTGGTTTGTTCGTTCAGTGTCACTAACCCTCCCATCGACAGTGGTTTGTCCGTTCAGTGTCACTGCCAATCGACAGCGGTTTGTCCGTCGGTGTCACTGTCCCCTTCACCCATCGACAGTGGTTTGTTCGTTCAGTGTCACTTCCCCTCCCAAAGACAGCAGTTTGTCCGTTCAGTGTCACTGCCCCCTCCCATCGACAGCGGTTTGTCCGTTCAGTGTCACCGGCCGACCGGGACACCGTGCCACAATGTCCGATCTCCATCCGATCGCACAGCGCCCCGCGCGATACCGGTCTCTGCCGACAGCCGATGTAGCTCAGAATTAGAGTTGCAAAGTTTCCCTACCGCATTACCGGCATGCCGGTAATTTTTCACTACCGCAGGTTTTTTTGTGGTATCTGGCATGTCTTGCCGGTAGCATGCCGGTATTTTTGGTTTTGCACAAAAAAATTATTATCATATGATTCAAACTTTGGACACTAAGAGGAAAATGTGGCATCTCTTGTAGGGGTAAACTGCAATCAACAATGCAGGTTTTTTAGCATGCCGGTAATTTGGTGGTGTTTTTGCTTTGGGCGTGGTAGCATGCCGGTATCCCCCAAAAAAATTGTGGGGCGGGGCGGTGCCGGTAGCAGCCTTTGGGGGAAACTTTGCAACTCTACTCAGAATGCATATGCATCGGGACGGGATCACAGTGTGACTGACAGGGCGACAAGCGAGGCGAAGCGGCGACAAACCGGCTAATTGGTTGTAGTTTGTCTCGATAAGCTGTGCGGGGATCACGCGGCGGCCACCCGCCAGGTGACAGTATAGACTAGAACTGGATGCCAGAGGTCCGCAGAGGTTTTAGTAGGGGAGAGTGGGGCAAAGCGGCCACCCTAACGCTTCTCACGATGCCAACGCTTGATTTTTAAACTTGGAAATATTCTTTCTATACCAATGTGATCCCTATTAAGTTGCCTTTTATTTCAACTGCGTTTTATTTCCAACGGCGTTCACATATGAAAGATATTGACAAAACTTTAAACCTATGCATATTGGCCACTTTGCCCCATACCCTGGGGCAAAGCGGCCACCGGCGTCTTCTCAAGTCCCGACATGAGAAACAAAATAGCTGCCTCGTGTACGACTAGGGTATTTGATGGTGACAAGGTTAAGCGAAGATGGATGTTTACTTTATCATCTTCCATCTGTAGGTAAACAAAGAAAGGATTTTCATGAAAAAAAACATTTAATTGCATTATTTGGTAACTCATGCAACTGAAAAGTGGCCAAGATGAATGCATGACGACACATTTGAGTATAAATAATGTTTTTTATCCAGATGGAAGCAGCTTATGGCCAATTGGGGGGTGGCCACTTTGCCCCGGCCACTTTGCCCCGCGCATACCGTCCGAGACAAAAATATTCCAGCTTAGCTATTAGTGGGGTAAAAAACATTAAAATTGGTAGAATACATGTACGATAACCATGCAATGCGTGGACAAGAACGCTTATAAAAATTCCAAACGGTTATGGAATAGCATAACATTTAAAAATTGTAAACATAGTTGGTAACCTGGCAAGAAATGCTTTTCCGTGTTTCACAGAACAATGGTGATGGGCCTGAAACCCCGGTCTGGCTCATTCGAACGACCGTGAAGAGAAGTATAATTGGAAACCATAAATTGGAACTGACGCCAGCTATGAAGGGCTAAAACGATGGGTGGCCGCTTTGCCCCGGGTGGCCGCTTTGCCCCACTCTCCCCTACAGCAATCGAGGGCTTATACCTATACTTATATCACCGGCGAAAAGATGAAGATGCGGACTATACAGTATGAACGGCTAATTGGTGAAGACTGCAGGGCCGAAAACGATTATGTTTGGAAAGAGTTGCAGTGCTTTATTGCTGGTTTCGTTCGGGGCGGGGGCGAGGCTGTCCGGACCCCCTCCCCCTCCCCGACTCCGCGCACACATCCGGATTAAACAGCACCGTCCACCACTTTGTCCCACCACCGGCCACCACCACAGGGGTGGCCGGTGGTGGGAAAAAGGACCAGTGGGTTTGGGGTGGGGTGGATAGAAAACCAGGAGCAGATAGAAATACATAGAGCCGGGGGCACCAGAGTGTCTGGATTCTGGATTGATGGGCATAGAGCCGAGGTAGAAAGATAGACGTAGCAGATGCCGGATAGACAGAGCTCCGGGGGCAGAAACAGAGGGCCGGGGCCGGATAAGGGGAGCGGCCGCAGGGGAGGGGAGGGGAGGGTCCGCCGCTGCACCGGGACACTTCATTGTGCACGGCCCATTAACGGTGCTCATTGCCGTCATCTGGTGACCATCCAACACTTGCAACAAACATGTCGGCCAGCGGGAGCTGACTCACCGCTCTTGCCCTGCCCCTCTCTCCGAAATAACCGGGCAATCCGTCTGGGGCGGTGCCGGCGGGGTAAAGGGTGCCGCCCGCCGCCCACGCACACGCACAACACACGGACCCGTCACGACGACTCCGGACGTGACCGCCGCAGTCGTGACGCCGTAACGACCGTGACGTGTCACTTTTCCGCCGCAATCCAGGTGCCCATTCACCTAGCGCATCTATATTTACACAAGCATTAATTATCTTTTTATGTTGCACTAAGGCCCCAACAAGGAACGCGATTAGCCAAAGGAATATGACGGCGACCGGAAATATATCATGCCAGCAGATACAAACATCATCTCTGGATTAAAAACTTGTAACAAAAAGTCAAAACAGCTGCCAGGCGAACGGAAAAACATGTGGCCGGATTTGAGGACGGGCTGCCCGAGCGATCCATCATCGGACGGCGGCTAACAGAGCCAGCTAATCAGAGCAGCGGCGCGCCCCCCCCCCCCCCCGGCACGACCCATCAACAGACCTCCCCCCGCCGGCCCCACCTGAATGACACCCACATAACGAGCAATGTTCTCTGTGCCAAGAAGGGCCGGTAACCAGTGCTCAGACGCCATATTGATTAACGAGCGCGTCCCGATATAATTCCAATTGGGCGGCCGTGTTTGTTTTGGAGGTGAATGACGCTTGCACGCCCCGGCCGCGATGGCAACAAATGACTGGTGGGGGCGCGCGTGCCAAGCGCAATACAATCAAACATGTGCGCCGACACGGCGACACGGGCGACACCGCCCCCTCCCCTATCCCCGACTTCTCCTCCCTCCCTGCCGTCTGGGTCTGGGGAACACGGCGAGAAGCCTCCGGGGTCCATCAATCTCCTCACAGGCCATAGGCCAGTCTATCGGAGCCTATATAGGCGCGCCTTTTCATCGCTGTCCGTCCAGACACCGGACGCCGACAAGCCATTGTCACCACATTTCGCGGCCAGATCGACCCCATCGACAACTCGATCGCCCTGCCTAGCGTCCAGCCTCGCCCCTCGCCCGTCCGGCCCAGCCCGATCTGCCCTAACCACGGGGTCACAGCGTCTCCGGCGCCGGCGGCCGCCGCAGCTGGCGCTCTCACTCAGCCGTCGCTCGAGTGTCGATCACCGATCACCGACCCGGCGCGATCCCCGATCACTCCGTCAGACGGAGCGTCAGCCAGCACCGGGCCCTTCAGTGAGGAGGATGGACCTTCGGTGGCGGCATACGCCACGGCCAGGCCGCCCTCGCCACTCTCCGCGTTATAAAACCACACCGAGTTCAGATATACCGATATCTACTACTCCTATGAAAAGGCAAAAGCGCAAGGTCACACGCTTAGGATACCGAGTTTGAATTTGGAACAAAGCATGTGATACCCAACGTCAGGAACAGATGTTCGAAAGTACCGCTCGCTCTCCACACTGCACTGATAGTCCGTGCAGATCATCCTCACACCATCCCTGTCCAACGGCAGCATTGATGAGTGACGCCCCCCCCCCCCCCCCTGATCTGGCCGCCCGCAGCCGGCCGCCCCCGCCCCCGCCCCCGCCCGCAGCCCGCACCGGCCGGGCGTCCATCACCAGCTGCCACTGCCACGTGCACACGCACTGTGCAACATTGCACCGTGTATGCCGGACCGGCCGAGCGGAGGGTGCAGCGTCGAGGGTCGCCCGCCCGGCCGGCCGGGCCCGGCGGCTCTGCCGGATCACTCAATCAATCAATTCATTAGCGTGTCGAGCGGACGTTCTTGGAAGGCCCGGGCTGGACCGGGTGGCGGCGGGGGTGGCGGTGGGGGAGGGGCGGGGCAGGGGCCGGGCGGGGCAGAGGGCAGCTGCACAGGGAGCGTCTCCCACGAGATGAGCATTTAGCAGAGATGCGAATTGAAGAAGGCGAAGGAAGAACTAAAAAATAAGACAAAGTGTCGCCTGACAACGCCTAGCAAGCCCTTGGTTATAACAGTCGAACCACGACGCTGTGGGTCAAAGCACATCATCAAACATCGGCGGGAGTCGCTGCTCGCTCGCAACGAAGAACGGTATACCTCCTGTGTTCCGATGTCGACACAAACCGACACACCCCTCCCGTCCCTGCACACCTGATCAGCTCTCTGATCCCCATTACTGCGATCGGAGTCGACCTCCATTACCGACAGTCACCGGTCACCTAATGTTCGCCAATCGACGGTCGATGACCGTCGGTACCGATATGGGCAGTCAGCCGGTCCAGGTGTGCCATGTGCGGGCGACCGTCTATCTGCCGCGGCAGGTGTGATCGGCGGCCAACAGCCGCCCCCGGCACCGAGCCGACCCCAGGCCCGGTGCGGCCGGCGACATCGAGCCGACTGCTGCATATCGACAGCCGCCGCAGCTGCCCGTCAAATTTGGCCACCGATGCCGGCCGCGCCCCGGGTCGCCGATATTAGCCGATAGAGGCCAGCGATCCGATCAGATCAGCAGGAGCCGATCGGACGGAGCCCCGCCGCGCGCCGGCTCCTGTGCACCTCCGCCGCTCTCTCTCCCCGGCTCTCCTCCTCTGCCCGCATTCCGGCGGCGGGCCGGCACACCGCGGGTAGAGGAGGAGAGGAGAGGAGAGGAGAGAGGACAGGTGACGTCCGTCGGGTAAAACACGCCGACAGGAACACGTCAGCGGTGCGACCATCACGTCTGATCGCAGAGCCGATGTCGTCCATCGCCACGAGCGCCGTCCCAGCCGCTCCCGGTCTCCGGGCTCTCTCCCTCTCTGAATCTCTGACCCCGGACGACGAGCGGGTAGCCAACATGACTCGAACGTAGCCCAGCCCACAGCTGAGCGCATGTAAAGCGGGCATCTGGTCATGATTTTCTGTTGATCGATGAATAAGCCATCTCGCAACGCAGCAATAACGAATCGCGTAGGGCTGTTTTATCGCCAACTTCCATCCGGTGTGCAGCTGCTGTTGATACCCCTTCCCCTCCCCTCCCCCAGCGCCGCAACATTGCAGCCCCGCTCCTCCCGGCCGCGGCAGGCAGCGCCGGGCACAGAGCGACGTTGTCTCCTAGTCAGTCGACATGTGCGCAAATCATCGCTTTACGAGCGAGGGCCGCGGCACGCCGTGCAGTATCGGCCGTTAATTGGCCGTTTTTACCGGCCGCCCGCTGGCCGCCAGTCTAATTACTGCCAGAGGCCGCGTCAGGCGGCGGCCCACCCCGCGCGGCCACCGCGCCGCCGCAAACAGAGTGGCTGACCCAGCTACAAACAGACTACTACCGCAAACAAACTATAACAAACAGACTGAGCTGCCACCGCGGCGCCGCAAACAGACCGAGCTGAGCTGACCGCTGCTACGAACAGACTACAATTGCAACCAGACCGTAACAAACACACTGGACTGACCGCGCCGCTACAAACAGACTACTACCACAGACAAACCGAAACAAACAGACTGAGCTGACCACCGCCACAAACAGGCCCCCAGACTGAGCTGACCACCGCCACAAACAGACCCCCAAACAGACTAAACTGACCACCGCTACAGACTATAACAAACAGCCCACTACAGACCGCCCCTGAGCTGTTCACCGTCCGTAACCACAGCCTGGTGACCGTCCCAGCGACCCTGGTGACTCGCCTCCGCCACCCTGCAGCCTCCACCGGCTGCTGCTACTGCTGTCACACAGTTCAACGCATCGGCGGCCGTCACGCACATTCGCTGATCAGCGAGGGGCGCCGGGCGCGTTAATTTCCGCGTCATTTGTTTTACCCGCTCCGAATGCGCATTGATCGCGCCCTCTATAGATTTGTTTTGAATGGGTTCTGATTACACATATTCAGGGGTGTAATTATGGAGGCGGCCGGTCGCCGCTCCGATCGGCAGTTTGTATGTCTGTGTGTCGCCCCACGAGCTACTGGATGAAAGGCCGGCGGCCACGCGCGCAGCGCTGCTCGGCTGCGAACGGCTCAGTCCGTTCTGTCTATCTCGCTGGCTGGCTCGCTGGCTGCATGTGCCCCATGCTCATGTGTCTATGTGAATGTGTTCGCAGTTCGCACTATTGCGCCAACAGCAGTGCGTCTTGCATGCGATATTGGTTATGTATCATGCATAAACTGGTATTAGAGCCACACATTCCACAATCTGGCGTCCTATCGGGCACCCCGGGTAGTCCCACCGGCCTGCCAAGCCACAGGCGCGAGGGCCCGGTCGAAGCACAGTTGGGCCCGCGGGCAGCAAGCGACACCATCGGTGCCGAGTATTTAGTGCCGGTGGACCGACGGTGGCCAGCAGCTGAGGCCGTAATTCGACAGTGGAATGCCGGCGAGGCACCGTACTTGAGCCGTGAGCAATGGAGCCGAGCGGCCGGCCTGGCAGCGGGGACCCCAGGGGCCACAGCCGCGCACAGACACCGCCAGCGGTGTTTGTTTTTCTTCCCGAATTAAACAAACATCACTCGAGTATTCCCGAATTCATTGCCGCAATGCAGTACGATAATTTGTCCATGCAGGAAGTAAGTGATTGCAGTGTCTGAGCCAGCGTCGCGTCGCAAGTCGCCATGCGTCCTGTCCCTTTCGCTGGAGAGCTGCCCCAGCGCCCTCACACCCTATCACCCGAGCTCGCCCCTTGGAACGGCACACCGGACCGTGCTCACCGCCACAGTCCAGCCGCGGTATTTGTTTTAGTTGCGGCGGCAGCGGCGGTCGATGGCCGCAAAGAGTACTAATTACCAGCGGACACGACCCGGCCCGGCGCCGCCGCCGACTTATTAAATCGGCCATTGATCGGCGCCTCTTTACGGCCGCCCCTCCGCCGATGGACAAGTCACAATAATCAATGTATAAATTTGCATCCGATAGCACCGTCAGCCGCCACCTAATCCGCTGATTTAGAACTCCAATAAATCCCCGTCCGGGCGAGCTTTTATTGAATATGAAAATCCCCATTCGTAAATCGTCGCTTGATAAAGGTGGTGTCGGCGGTCGGCTGCGGGCGGGCCGATGACGGTGACGGAGAACCACAGGTGAAAACAGCCGCGGCGATTTGTGAGCGACCACCGCGACCCGACCTGACCCGCGCGCCTCGTCCAAAGGGTGCCGGTTCAGTCGGCGCGGTGAGGGTCAGAGGGGCGCGCGGGTGTGTATATCTCCACTGTCACTCACCTGGGCAGACGGGCTGGCGGCCTCCGCCGGCGGACGGTCCTCCGATCCGGACGGCTGCTCAGACTTCATCGCCTGCGACGCCTCGGTGAGGATGTGCGCGATCCGCTCGTCGGCCACGGTCTCCTCAGGACGGCCCACCAGAGACGGCCGTGAGTCCTTGGCTGTGAGCGGAGCGGCGAAAACAATTAGCACCAGAGCAGACACAGTCACAAAATCACACACGGCACAGCACACAGCATAGCGAGCAACCCTCCGGCAACGGCGGCCATAAATATTGCAGATACGTTCCTGTTTTATAATTGGGACGTTTCAATATTGAAATGGAAACTGCCATCGTTCCAAGCCAGCGGAGAAAATATTCATAATCTCTGTCCGGAAACGGCTCATATTTTATGCATGTCATCCAAACAAAAGCGTCGCCAACGTCGGGCTCCGGGGATGCTGCTCCCCGCAATACAACACCGCGCTGATAGTGATGATCAATGATCTGTGCCCTGTTTGTGTGCATGCATGGGTGTCGATTTGTATACCTTTGGGGGTGCTGCAGCACCCCCAATGCTCAAATGAGCACCCCCAATGGTTTTCCGGGCACCCCCAATGATTTTGTCCCTCAATAACTCCCACTAACTCTGCTTGAGGAAAATAATTGTTCTGCAGTCTTTCACTACAAGAAATAAAACAATTACGCAATTTACAAGGCATGAAATAAAGATGTAAAGAAAAGAAAAGTTAGTTTTAAGAAGAAGGGCGAAAAAAGACGTTAAATTGCAAAGACACTTGTGTGGGTCCGTCGTACACGGGTGTCGGACTCTTAGAGCTGCTGGTGCGTACCCTTTACAAGCCGGCAGGGGGCTCCAGAGACCGGCGACTGGCCCTCAGGGGCCGGCAAAGGGCCATCAGAGGCCGGTGGTACCTTCAGAAACCCTGTGGGGTCGTCTTTATAGACCGGAACGGACTCAGACGCCGATGGGGCCCTCAGAGTCGCCGGTGTGGGGCCTTCAAATGTCACCGGTGGCAGGGTGGCCGTCACATGCGCACTAGTGGGGCCTTCAGAAGCTACGATGCTGGGCCCTCAGAGCCGCCGATATAGGGCCTTAAGAGGCACTAGTGTGGGGCCCTCAGATATGGCAATGTGGGGCCCTCGGACTGGAGACGCCGGTGTGGGGGCTTCGCAGTCGCCGGTGACGGCCCTCACAGGCGCCGTTGTGGGGGCTCTCAGAGACACTGGTTTAGGGCCATCACAGGCGCGCGTGGGGCCCTCAGAACTGCTGTTACGGAACGGACCCTTCATAGGCCGACAAAAAGATATCAAGAGGTCACCGGTGCCTTCAGGCGCCTTGTGGGGTTCTCAGAGACTGGCATGGTGCGCTCAGACGCCGCTGGGACCCTCCGAGTCACCTAAGTCAGCCGTCAGGGTCGCTGGTAACTGACAATGGCCCTCAGAACCGCCCATGTAGGGTTTTAAAGGCATTGGTGTAGGGCCTCAGAGTTAGCGGTGTGGGGCCCTCAGGGACGCCGGTGTGGCGCTCAGGGGCGCCGGTGAGGGCCATTACAGTCGCCGTTATATGGGCCCTCAGAGAAATGGGTGTGGGGCCATTACAGGCGGGTGTGCAGCTCCTAGAGCTGGCCCCCTATAGGCCGGTTAAGACCCCCAGAGGCCGGCAAGTGGCCCTCAGAGGCTGGCTTGGGGCCCTTATGGAGATCTTAATGTTGGTACTTGTGGGCCCATGAGGTGTTCTTACGAGCCCTGTGGGGCCCTTCTGAGTCTAAATATAGCCAACGTGGACCCTCAGCGGCCAATTGGCGCCGCAGGGCCCCTCAGGCCCGAATAACCCGATGGGCCCCTGAACCTGATGGGGGGGGGGGGGAATCCCGTGATTATCAGTACCTTATGGGGATACCCAACCATGCCTTGCACGGTTGTGCCCCATGGCAAAGCTGCAATCTTTCACCCGGTGCAGGGGTTGAGCACCCCCAACCATTTTGAAAAATCGACACCCCTGTGTGCATGTCTGTCTGTGTGTGAGTGGGAGCACGGTCCCAGGGGTCGACGCTTACCCGACGACAATCCCTCCCTGGGAACAGGACCAGCACAACCGACACCGGTACCGCGACTAGAGCCTCGTCGAGGCCGACGACCGCCGACGGTCGCCATCGACGTGCCCCTGTTTGAGAGCGCGTCCAAACCAAACGCGGCGTAAAGCAGGCTGATTTGTGCGGCCCGCCGCGCCAGCTCCCGGCGGCGGCCGCGTCGATTGGCAGCGGGGTCTCGTCGGCAGACCGTATAAACCACTCGGCCGTGTTGACAGAGATTAGCCGGGGCGCTGACACCTCTGACACCGCTGACACCCCGCCCACTGACCGCTGACACCCATCCACTGACCGCTGACACTCCAGGACACCGCAGACCATGGAATCACTCATTAACGACACACCTAACTACGCAGGACAGCCGCAGATCAACGTTATTTGCACTATAAATTACACCGTCCAACCAGTTCACTTAATCGGGCTTAACCTGCGAGCTCGCCCCCTATCAGGGCGCGAGGTCATTTGGTGCGGCCGAAATTTAGAACACCCAGCTATTGGCCTGACTGTGTCAGTCAGCCCAGCCCAGCCGAGCCGAGCCGGCGGCCGCCCCAACTCTTCGCTATTGATTCGCCACTGTTAATAGCGCTTATTTGCATTATAAATAATCACATCAGACCAGTCCACTTGTTCCAATGAGAGGGGCGGCTGGAGAGGGCGGTCGGAGCGCTCCCCGTCGATCGATCCGCCCCCCCCCCCCAGCTCCCCACTCTACCTGATCCCCTGCGGAGTATGACGTCATTCATACACACACCCTCAGGGTGCTACAGCCGTCCGTCAGATGTATCGGGGGAGGGACGCCAGCGGTACCTGTGACAGCCAGTGGGTTCTCCTGACCGAGCGTTGGCAACCAAATCAACAACGGCGGACGGCCGTGAAACTTCGGCACCAATTATGGACTGAATCCTAACAACAAACGACCACAGACCCACCCCAAAACCCACCAAAATGCATGACCCGGGGCCATTCGCGGCCGGGAACTTCACCCATTTCGTGTACCCGATAGTTTTCACCAGTTTCAGGGGTATCAAACCGCAGCGTCCACCAGATCGGCGCGGCGCTGCAGCGCGCGGCGATAGAAGAGTGCGGCCGATAGCCGGAACAAAGCGGCGTTGAACGCGGCCGGGCGGCTCGCGCGCGGTACAAAGACTGCGGCTGTCGGCCGGTGCCGGGCTCCCAGACTCTCCGCTGATAGCGCCCACAGCGCCGCCATTCTGCGCCGGCTCCACACCTTCACACGGGCCGACCGGTGCCGCTGTTTGCGCAGCCATCAATCGAATCGATCGAAACACATCCGCCGGAACTGTCGGCCAAAGTCGGCTGGCCCGGCGTCTTCCTGCCGGTCAACTGTCGAGAGGAGTCCTTAGGCGAATGTAACGCGTTGCGGACGGGTCAGGTCAAACTCGACTCCAATCGAGCCGAGATGTGTTGACCCGGATGAGCTTAGGAAAGAAGGACTATAAGGTCGGTGGGCTAAGGAAGGACTGACGGACTCGGCTCAGGAATAGACGGACGGACGGACGGACGGATCGCCTTCCCCACACGTGGGAACGCCGTCGATATCAGTGCTATGATTATAACGCCATCATCGTGGTCGGCAGCCCAGAGGGTAGCTGCAGCCGCAGCCAAGCCACCAAACAGCCGATGGACAGCCGGCCAAGTTTCCCATCTACCTGAGCCACTCGGCAATAAAACAAATGTGGAGCACTTGCCCGTTGAGCCAGGCCGCTCGACCAGACTCTCACACGCAGACAGCGCCGCAGAGCCTCGACAAGAAAACCACATTACTGTCTTCCGGAGTGATCTCTGAGGAGTCCAGACGACTGTGCGGCCGGTCGGTGCCATTGTCACCGTTCGCGGCCGGCGGTGCGGTGTCACCCTGTTTACGTTGGCACCGGGACACGGGCGCGACCGGCCGCGGTCACCTGGTATTCAGACGCGCAGAGACTTATCGCCTCGTTCCTCCTAAGAACGGGCCGTACCGGCATCGCCGGCAGACCGTAGAAATGCCTCTCGATGTGCAGGGGTATACGAAAGGGCCGCGTAAGCTTCTTACTGATACCCCTTTCAATGCACACGAGCTTGAAAGAGCATGGCTTTGAGCCAGAGTATGTTCCAATAAAATGTCAACCGTTAAGCTGGACAGATTTAACCAATGACCATCACTCTGCCTTCGTTACATCCCACGAATTAATCCGGAATCAGCTGACACGTAAATTAAGTCAACGATCGACACACCAATATTCGAGGGAGCACAGTCAGCACCTTGGCAAGGGCCCATCCTATTCCTAGGACGATGAGACCAACCAGTGGATATTTAACATGATGAAGAGTGGAGACGAGGGGAGACACGTAACGATACGATTCAAATATCCATATAGCCTTCTTGGACACATGAATAGCATCGGAGACAGGACCGCATGGACCAATTAACTGCCAGTGAGAAGTCATGACTCTGGGTTCGAATGTCACCAGAAAAGAGGACGATCCGCTCGACTATCCTGCAGGACCAAATCTGCTCCCTATTCCGCCACTGATTTGATTCGCCCAGGGCTGCCTGATGCGCAGTGAGCTGAGGACCGGCTGGGTGCCGCTCCCGCCCCGGCCAAACGAGGCACCCGAACCACGCCGCTCGGCACAGCCGCTGACCTGAGGTGCGCGCGCGGGTCCGTTTTTGCCCGTGTAGCGACACCGCAGTAAAGCGCGACCCGACGCGGGGTTGGCCGCGGCCGCCTATCGCGGCCTAATCGGCACCTTTTTACAGCGTGTGCCGCGTGGTTTACTGGGCGGTCACCTGGAATCCGGCGGGAGCTGGCGCGTCCGCCGAGCAGCGCTTCAATCACCAGAGCGCCGGTTATCAGCCGGTTAAACACAGGTCAGGGCGAGTGGAGCGCGCCGGACTGAGCAGAGCCAGACCAACCGACCGACCGCGGGGCACACACCACCGACGGAGATTAAAACCAACAACACGCGACCAAGACAAATGAACGGAATGAAAGGATAAAAACCGGCCAGATCTTTAACATACAAAAGCCCGATGTGCCACTCAAGAATGTGGAGGAATTGATGGCCT